GGGACAGTAAGACTATTTAATAGTACAAGTAATAATTTTCACTTATTATCATATTAAAATTTATAATGTTAAGGACCGGGTTTGGCTGAGAAAGCAAGTTACACACTACTTAAGAGAATATACACCGAACACTCCAAAATCAATCTCTGGCACAGCTTTTTAATCCAGGATTGCAGAACGTTTCCACGTCTTCAAAACCCAGATACTGGGAAAAGAGAACATCTGCCTTGTTTGGAATATTCTCCTAGTTATAATTTAAGTGACATGCCTCTATTATTGGTTCAGCACCAACTAATAATTTATTTAAGCATTCTGAAATGTGATACTAGCTTGTGTTTCACTTACAGTTTTATTCTTAAGTTGTCATTTTGCCTCTGGTCTGTTTTTATTGCAAAGTAGTAGTATTATGCTTTCATAAAGAATATTAACTAGCTAAAACAATTAAATCCATTTCTCCTTCTGTACTAAAATACACACTCCCCAAATGTTTGAACAGACTTTAAATTACATGTACTCTTTCGACCAAAACCCAACTTACTTCCTGTCATGTGAGAGTAAAACCAACTTGTTCTTGCTTTTTTAAAAAAAACTGTCTGCCTATCTATATAAGCTCTGAAGCATGAACTAAAAAACAAGTTTTTAGTCAGGCTTCTATGTAGCAGATTACGACAAGAGGCACTGAAAAAAAATGTTTATATACTGCATAAAAGTCTTCCATGATTTGCTTACACACACTAACACAACACAAATTAATCTGATAAAATAACAACAGGTCAATATAATGGCAAGGTAAATTTATTCCAATATATTATTCCATCTCACCAAATATAACTGTACCTATTTATTCACTTTGAAATTCAGCCTAGGCAAGTTGTAGGCATTGGTAGTCTGATTCATATAACTACATAGCTGATAATCAATTTGATCAGGAAGGAATTGTACTTCCCCCAAAACATGAGATTTACAGTTTTGAGGTTCCAATATATAGATCACATAATGCAATAGCTTTAGTTATTCATGCTGATAATCTTCGGATTATAGAAACCTGCTGATTGGAATAACTAATTCACTTATTTGATGATTTTTCAGTGGCTGATTACAACAGATGATTGTACAACTGTGCAGGAAAATATGCAACCTAGTTCCTTAGAGCTATCTTGCTTAGGGCCAGATTTTCCATTTTACCTGACTAGGCATAATTTCACTCAAGAGCTGAAGAAGCTTCTTGTATGAGAAGCAAAATATCTTCAACGAAAAACAAGGAAGTCCAGTTGCCTCTTGAAAAAAGCACCTTTGGGACAACCATGACCTGGATGACTAAGAATCTCCAGAGACATATTCATAAAATTCCACGTATGTCAGATCTATTGCAAAATCTAAATTTACAGGTAGGCTCACTTAACATCTGATAACCAAAGTTACAACAGACTCAAAAGTAGTTATTTATGATCCTTCCTCTAACTTACTCCCTCACGTACCCCATGCAGTCATGTGATCTTATTTCAGGAACTTGGCAACAAGCTTGCATTTACAATCATTGCAGCATCCCAGTTACATGACAGCAATTTGTGATTTTTTTTAAAAAAAACAGTTTATGACAAAAAACACCCATCTGAAAGAATTGATCTGCTTAATGATCATGTGTTTTGTTAATGACTATGTGATTCACATACCAAGCACGTGATTTGCTTCATAAAAATGGTCATAAAATGTAGTCAGGTCACCCACTTAACAACCTCAACAACTTACAATGAATGTTCTGGGTCCAGAATCAGATTTTAAAAATTGAATGCTTCACCTGGAATATTATCAGTTTTTGCTTTTTAAAGCATGCCTTTCATTCATAGGCAGACAATTCAACAAACAACTAAATATTAATATTTAATATTAAACAAGTTAATATTGCAGAGTTTTAGTATTATATTTACAGAAATGTTAGGCTGAACTGTAAGGCTACAAAAAAACCCATTCAGGATTATGAGCCATCTTTACAATGTGGTTATTACAGCAATGTTATGTTAGAGATTTTTCACACATGCCTGGAACTTCAAATTGCACTTCCCACAGGAATAGTTCAGTTAACCTTTGTTAATATCATTGTATTTCCAAATAATGTATTTGTCATGGAGGCATTACAGCTAACATGACATTCAATGATTAAAAACGGAATTCTACTAAAAAAAACGTGGGAACTTTCTATGGAAGAATCTGTGTGGAAATCACTATCACAAATAGTGTAAAAAAAATCATATAATTAATACAATTGATAAATAGTAATAGTAATTTATTATTAAACACAATCAATCCTGGTTGAAAATGGTAGTAATTCTAAAGACATTTAGAAAGTACCACTTTGGGAAGGACTTAAATGCAATATCTCAACGACCTATTTCCAAAAGTGCCTGAGCAAACATTTTTCAAAGAGTAGCATCTTATGCTGAATGCAAGCCAAAGTAGGCTGTTAGAGTAGCTTGTACAAAGAGTCAAGTGATAGCAAGGGAGCAGGAGAAAAATCTAGCAGGCTTGCTTGATTTCTTTTGCAGACTGGATAGTTTTGTGCATCTTGGACATGTGGTATTTTGAAATATAGTAAAATGCACAGGAGGATGGCAATCACAAAAGTATTCTGTGCAGTAATATTGCAGTATTCAATTGCAGCAAACTACACACAGAGCAAAAATGCATACTATTCCATGCACAGGACTCACACAGTTTCAGATAAGACTGCTTCAGAACACTGTAATTCAGCCAAACATAAATGTACATCTTGGTTGTTTCTGATGCCAGTAGAGTCAAATTCAAAAGGGATTCACTGGGTTAGAAGGCAACATTGACACCCCTGCCCTAAACAGAACAATGGCAATTGAGCATCCTCAGTGGCTACACAGTATTTTATGACTATGGAGGGAAATCCCAGAAAACTAAATGAGAAAAGAAACAGTACAGTTGCTACATAGGAGGGAAGGAGCACTATTTATGTTAAGGAAAAGATGAACTCTCATTGTTTATTTACGCCATTTCCCAGTTCACTGTTAGAAACTATTTTTAAACATCCTCAGAAACAAAAATCAGATGTTCTCATAGAAATAAATGGAGAAGTCTAAAATTTTGAAACAGTCAAGGACAGATGTTTCATCTACAACATGCAAACGACAGCAAGAAATTTTTTTCTATCATTTGTGAAACATTTGAAAAAATAATCTAATATAAGTTAGAAAGCAAATGAATTTAATTCAGTATTGCAAACTGGAATAGACAGTGACTGCAAGATAGACTAATGATAGCCATAAAATATATGCATGTCGAATACTAGTCAAAATCAGCATTATTAACCTTGTAGCAGTATTAAAATCTTATGCCAGGTAGGAATCTAAACTAAAGCTGAAGATATAACCAGTCTGCAATAATTAATATACAGATACTCCTCATTTAGTGACCACAACTGGGACCAGTGACTTGGTTATTATATTAAGCAAAGCAGCTGGTAAATGAAACTTTAGTAAGTGATCTTACTTCAGCTTTTCTTTGCTTTACGGACTTGTGAAGGTTGTAAATGCAAAGATTGCTTGTAAAGTTACTTTTTCTTCACAGTCCTAAATGCATATGATTTCTTAATGAGGTAATTGTTAAACAAGGATAACATCTATATTGATTTTGTGTTGCGTTTTGCAATGAGAGTAGTGCAAATAGTTCAATTAATACAGCTTCAGATATGAAACTGAAGCTGGTTTCAGTTCCTAAATTAAAGCTTCACTTTGTTGGCACTTTGATGTAACAAAAAAATTCCCACTCTTTGCCCCAGGACTCATTTGTATCCAGGATGCTTACTGAAACCACGAACACAATGAAACCACTGCAATGTGCAATTCAAGTTTCATTGAAGTATCACCTGAAAAATAACATAGTTGGTTCATATCCTTAAATATTTAAATTTGACACAGCAGGATTTTTCCAGGCAACATTTTGAATCCCAGATTATCTGAGATTCTTTCAATCCCGTAGAGCAGGTTCCTAGCAATATAAATTGTTCCACATGCAGGC